TATTGCCTACCTCCTGAATCTTTCTAGTGGATATTGTTTATACATATGGATTAATTTCGCTAAGAACTGATAATTATATTGTGAAAATATGGTAGAAATTAATTTTTATTTACTAAATATATTAATTTGCCTGCAACATATGTTCTATATTTTTAAAACGATGAATGACATTTTTTAAATTTTTTATCACTCCCTATTTATCCTAAAAGATTTGGTGATGCAAATGTAATGTTAAATATTCATAAAGGTTGAATGGGGTTAATAATTAATTCAATGTTGGAAATATAAATTAAATCTCACTACGAAATTATGAAAAATACACCCCCAGATTCCCAAAGTGAAAACAAACCAAAGCATGTTAAAAAGCTGAGAAATTGAGAAAAGAAAAAAATTAGTGCATCTGGAACCTTCTGTCTAGAGCTGACAGCGTCTCTACCAAATTGAACCACCGTACATGAATATGATAGTCGAATTAGAAGATTTAAAGTCAGTCAGATTCAGATTCTGGCCGGCACACACACTTTCTCCTTCCATCCCAACTTATTTCTCTTTTAAAGCCACTCTTGTGACATCGTATAGATAAACGCCAATCTCGGATTGTACTAGAATAAATTCTAAGATCCTTCAAAACTGAAAAGCAATTTTGGAAATACGAAAATATTGTGGTGCGACCATTTTCAACCAGTCCAATCCTGTTGCGATGTCGACAGTTTTTAGTCTAGCTATGTGGACTTTATCGGCTGCGAGAAGTTACTGGAAAGTGGAAAGATCCGCTTTACACGTAACTCATAGAAGAAGGGCTCCTAGATTACCGAGAATCTTTTCTTACATGGCAGGTTTTATATAAAAAGCGTGACTCTGTCTAATTAGTTTAGGACCTCGCATTCGGTGCATTGCCTGAATTGATATGAAAATTTTCAGGTTTTCTCATAGCAATAAGCAACTACTGGGTCAGTAACATCCTCTCAGATACCTACTACCATTCCTTCAACACCATCATCCCCTCAGGCCTGATCCCTGATCCTTCCAGTGCGACTAAATAGGGTTCCTATAGCGGCCCACTCCCAACTAGTAAAATTTACCTTTTTACCTAGTTAGTTCATCTGAAGGCTAGTCACAATTTAAGATAAACATTCGAATTGTTAAAAAATAATTAGATTATAAGTGTGAAATATAAATAGTGCTTAAGTAAAAATAAATAATTATTAAGTATTTAGTGTAAATCTAAATACATCTGTATCTGTAACGTGTGGAGGGTGGGTTACCCCCACGGCACTTAGGCCTCATTAGGCCCATTGTGCATCCTCCTAAGATGATAGGTATCTCCTAGCTCGTGAGCCAGCTTACAGATTTAATATAGTTGACAACGTCGCCAAGAGGTGCTTTTCTTATATCGGCCGGTGTTAGCCGATTCTCGCCGAACACAAATCTTCTAATAAATGAGAGCGTCGAGCAATCATAAAGGATATACTCGATTGTCTCATCTTCTTGTTCGCACCCTCTGCAGAGTGCGGATTCTAACAACCACGTGATATGAAGATGCTTTCGTACTTGGCAATGACCAGTCAGAATGCCTGTGACTAGGCGCAGATTATGTCTAGTCATAGTCAAGTATTTGTTTGCTGCAGTGTTGTCAGGATAACTTAGAAGCTCCTTGGCAACTCTGCAGTTTCTTGTTTGATCCCAACTTTCCTTGAATTTCACAAGGGAATGTTTTGATTAGGACCGTCACTACCGAATTTGTCAGTCTAGAAAGCAGAAATTTGAGTTCATTTAATAACATAAGCATCCGCTAAGAAAGGATTTTTAGAAAATTCACTTTTAAAGAGGGGAAATAGGGAGGGAAATTAGGGAGCAACTCTGTATGAAAATCTTTGTTCTTTGAAGTTAAAAACATGAAAATTTAAAATGTAACTACTGAGAATAAATAAATAATGACGTTTTTCAGGGTTTTTTGATTTTCATTTTTTAAGGTGGGAGAAGAGGGGTAAAAATTTCTATGGGAGTATCGGTTTTTTTAAGATAGGAACTTGAAAATTGGTAATTACAGCTAAAGCTACATATTTCGACACCTCGACAGCCTAAGAAAGGAATGCTTTTCTCACGGACAGTTTTATGTGGCCTGTTAGAATAAGTTCTGAATCCGTTGATATTAGCAGATGAGACC